AATGAAGTACAAATGAGCGTTTTTGCTCATTTTGCCTCCGAGATATGAGCAAAAACGGGACGGAAAACATGGAATTTTGACATAATCTTGCACCTGTGTTTGCACCAAGTGTTTGAGATTCAAATTTTGCTTTCTGGGTCAAAACCACTCGAATTTCCTCACTCTCGTTGTTACGACTGAATCGACTTTTCAATCCTCTAGCCAACGATGCTAAAACGAATTCTGTGGCTCAAATGGTTCTTCAGAAACTTCGAATAAAGTCCATTTTATTATCTCTGGAATGATCTAAAAACGAGCATTCTTGCTCATTTTACTTCCGGGAAACCTGCAAAACGGGACGGAAAACATGAAATTTTGCAATAATCTTGCGCCACCCTTGCACAAAACGACGATAATTTTTCTATTTTCATAGATAACAAAAGACTGTATTTTTTCTACATAACCCCGCCCCTAACTTTAAAGCTGAATCCGCCCCTGCATAGATAAAGCTCAACTGTTACTCGGCAACGAGTAATTTGCCGTTTCGCAGCGCCCCCCATCGGTAGTTGAACGCTCGATCGCCAAGTCAAACGCCAAAGCGCTCTCTGGCGGCCCAGTAATACACCACACCGAACAAGTAACATTTTTGACATTTATTTTGTTGACACTTGGTCATGGTCACTCGATACGAGCATTTGCTTACGTCCAGCAGCGCCCCCATCGGGAGTCGCCCACCAACCCTGAGGATGCAGGCCCCGAGGCAGTTGCAAGCGAAACGTTTGGTTTCAGTAAATTTGGTGGCTGTCGGCATAGTAGGTCCACGAATTCTATTTACTGTCCAATTTCGACCCACGTCCCTCTTTGCAGGCCTGCAGCAGCAGCCGCGGGTTGACCTCGCGCCTCCTGCGTGCGTGACGGCCCCCATCGCCCCTGGGGGGCCACGCGAAGCTAGAAGGGGTTCGGGCAGGGGGCGAAGGCCTCGCGGGGCCCGTCGGACCGCGACATCTGCACAACGCGTGAGGGTGACCCTCCCCCCCGTGCTCCGCCAACCCGCTCGCCCTTCTGGACGATCGTCTTGCAGGAAGTGACGGTTTATACAGGGTGTTTGTGAGGCAAATTGCGCGCAATATTTTCTTCTAGATGGTGCCGCAAAAGTGCCACTTTTGTTGTATTTTGGAGGAGTTTTTCAGGTCGTGGTAATTGCTTATGGAATGTTGTTTTGTCGGAATGGAATAGAAGCGGGGAAATGTTAATTGATTGATTATTGCCTTTGGGCACCGCACTGGTTTTCCTGCATGAAATCCTTGCAAGTTGGCTGATTTGCCGTTTGGAGTCCTTCCAGTGTCGTGCCCGAAGGGGCCTGGCACAACAAACGCATTAGATTTTAGTGAGTGACGCAGTTGTGCTGAGCCCTTCGGGCTAGGCGTGGGTAACTCGGTGAGTTATCAGGAGTTGGCGCAGTGATGCCGACCCAACGCACCGGCACAGTAACTGACCGGTACAGTTGCGTTCAGCAACAGGCTTCCCATTGGACTTTCAGCAGATTTCCGAAGATTTAAATCGATAGAGTGAAAACTTGATGAATCTTTGATAATTTTCCTT